TTGTTGATTTGCTCGAGTGGGCACCAGTAACGTCTCCATTTGTCCCTGTCGCGTGCTAGTGTACCCCAATGGCATCTGTTCGCTCTGGGAACATGAAGAGCCTCAAACCGATCGTTCATGATCTTGATGAAGAAGTCTGACCATCTGGTAGGTGGGCGGCCACGCGGTCTTTTGACATCCCGTGGGATCCAGTCGGTAACAGCTCTAGTCCAGCGGTCATCTTTAAATCTCATTACGTGACCAGCCCATCTGATTTTTGACACCTTGGCAAACGAGACAGCGTCCCTGATTCTTGATCGTCAACAGATGTCGGAACTCCGGATTCTTTCTCTCATTTGAGTGAAACGTGATATTCCAAGCATAGCTCTTTCAATTCTTCTTTGGGAGACCTGAATAGCGTTCTCATTCTGTTTGCGTAGGGCCCAGGTATCTGAGGCATATGTTAATGCAGGAAGAACAGCGGAATCAAAGACATGTGCCCGGAGCCTGAGGTTCTTCGTCCTCTTAGCTATTTCTTCGACGTTCTTGAAGGCGTTCCAAGCCGCTCTCTTCCTCCTGCGCAGCTCGGGTGCCAGGTCATTTGTCATGTTGACTTCTCGACCCAGGTACACATAGCTGTTACATTCGGAGATGGTCGTTCATTAAGAGCGAATGGGGCATCAGGAACGAGGCTGTTTCTCTTAAACATTGTCTTCATAAGATTCAGCTGTAGTCCTACCTTTCCACACTCACAGTCAAAGTCGGCCAGCATTTGTGCCGCTTGGCTGATGTTTGGTTTGGTGTTTGGTTCGGCAGGTGTTATTAAAACAATGTCATCAGCAAAGCGGAGGTGGTGTAGTTGCCGACCATCTATCTTCACTCCCATTCCTTCCCATTCCAGTCGTCGCATGATGTTCTCGAGGGTGGCACTGAAGAGTTTCGGTGAAATGGTATCACCCTGCCAAACCCCTCTCTTGACATCAATGATTACTTCTTTGTAGAATGGTGAGATCTTGGTAGTGAATCCGCAATACAGCTCACGGAGGATCTTGATGTATTGGGCTTGAATGCCCTGATTGGCTAGGGCTTCAATGACCACTTCCGTCTCAACAGAATCAAAGGACTTCTTTAAATCAACGAACGTTAAACAGAGCGGCATCTTGAACTCCCGAGAAACCTCAATGAGCTTGGTTATTGTGTGGATATGGTCGATGGCGCTGAATCCTTTGCGGAACCCGGCTTGCTCGCATGGTTGTCCTTCATCTTGTGTTCTGCCAATCCTATTTAGGATGACTCGAGTGAACAACTTGTAGATGACAGATAATAGGCAGATCGGGCGATAGTTGCCACTGTCATGGATGTCTCCCTTCTTGAACAGTAGTATGGTCCTGCTGGTTTTCCACTGGGACGGAACCTTGCATTCAGACAGGTAGCGAGTGAAGAGCCAAGCCAGTGTATTGATGAGTACTGACGGCAGGTTCTTCAGGTGTTCAGGTCTGACCTTGTCTGGGCCAGGTGCTGTTCGTTTCTTTACTGACGAAATGGCATGTCAGATTTCGGAAGGGAGAACATTGGGAACGACATATCCATCCTGTGGAATTTGGTATGTCGGCAAGTGGACATGGCTATCGAAGAGATCTGAGTAGAAGTCATGGATAATCTTCTCCATTGCCGTTCTGGAGGATGTGATGGATCCATCAGCACGTCGGAGGGCAGTCATCTTGGTCTTGTAGTTGGCAAAGGACAGGCGGGTGTTACGAATACTTTTCCTGGCTTCTGCCGCATCTACCAGCACTTCTGCTCTTCTCTCTTTGAGGTCTTCCTTTATCGCATCTCTGCACTGCTTTGCGAGCTTGGATGTTAGCTTGCGGTTGCCTGAGGCATGCGCCAAACCACATTGGCGAATAAGCTCAAGAGTTTTCGAAGACAGGCGTTTTTTTGTGGCTATCTCTCTCTTGGCGTTCCTCGCACAATCATGGAGGTGCTGAACCAGTCGATCATATTCCTCGTCAATATTGTCAACAATGGCATCTTCCATGTTGCCGCAATAGTGCCAAAGAGCTCCCAGTTGATGGTTGTTCTCTTTTTAAACTTTGCAGCCCTTTCTCCCCGCTCTGTGAAGTAGAATTTTGCACGAAGGAGATGGTGGTCCGATCCCATTCAGAATTTTGGGACAACAGCAACATCAGTCAGGCAAAACCGTCGATTGAATATGATGTGGTCTATTTCGTTGTGGAATCGTCCACCGGGAGACTCCCATGTCCATCAGGAGACTCCCATGTCCATCGTTTAGATTCTGCCTTCTGGAACTGTGAGTTACCATGAATGGTCTTGGTCGACATGATGAACTCAGACAGTCTCTCACCCTGTTCGTTCCATTCTAGGCCATGGGTCCTGATGTGAATTCTTCAGCTGATCTTCTCGGTCCTATCTTGGCATTAAAATCACCCACAATGATCTTGTAGAAGGTGTGGTCTTCTTTATAGAACTTCTCCAGCTCCATGTAGAACTTCTCGATTTCTCTTTCATTATAATGAGATGTTGGTGCATAGACAACAAACATAGAAACTTCCGGCAGTGAGCCACATCTATTCAAATGTAAACGTCCGATTCGGGTTGTTAGGCATTCGAATGAAACAATGCTCATGGCCAAGTTTATGTTGACAAGGACACCGACGCCTCCGGCACCTCTTTTATCACATGTTCCGAGGAACAATTCTTCTCCAGTGTCGAAAACGGAATGATGAGATTCGTGCCTTCTTGTCTCGGTCAGACCAATGATGTCGTACTTGATCATTCGCGCTTGTACCATCAGGTCCTCGATGGATGCATCTGATGCTAGCGTACGTGCACTGAAAGTACAGACGATCATTTTTGTCTTCCTACCTCCACTACCCAGCCGCTGCCACACTCCAGGACACTTTCCGGACCCATGTGACAGCTCCGGCCAAGACTCACGCATGACTGAAGACCCACAGAACAAGAAAAGCGGAACTTTCTAAGACCTTGGACTCCAGGCTCAACGGACCCAGGAACAAAGATTCTCTGCTTGCTCCCACCAACCACAGGTGACAAAGGGATTCTAATCAGGAGCCCCACCCTACCCTGCCCTGTCTGCTTCTACCAACCACTAGAGACCCAGGAATCGGACTGCACACAGAAGACCCACCCTACCCCTACCGGGACCAGATAAACACCCCACTGGCAGACCTCCACTACCGACACTACCTCCACTACCCAGCCGCCGCCACACTCCAGGACGCTTTCCGGACCCGCGCGGCCGCAAAGTGGCCACGCGACACATAAGACACTAAATACCCATCTTCCGGAATTGCCGTACCATCTTTGATAGGGTTCAAATATGGTAACACCTACGAGGGTGATTAGAGGTCGCCTCAAAAGCCTCTATCCCTTCGGAAAGACTGGCAAGCTACCGAGAGTATTTCGCCCGTACGGAAGAGCCTGGCAAGCTATCCATTGTGTATTCGATATGCCAAAACCAGTAATTACAACTGGTCTCATTCACCTGACCCTGAAGGCTTCACCGACATGGCAGCACTGAGAAGGATGAGAAAGGAGAGGCCGATAAAATCTCAAGGCCAAACTAGGCTGCCACAACGAAGGAAGACATTAGACTAATCTTTTATTTATCTCCAGTTAGTCACACCCCACAGCCACAGTGACCACAGTACAACAAAAGGCCCAGAGCCAGGACACACACACTATGTACACTCTTGCAATCACACACTGGTATACATATAGACACTCATAATTATACAGTCACACTGTGACCTGTACATAGTCTGATAATCGCATACACTAATATACACATTAACATACACACTCTTATAATTACATACTGAGATTACATGCTGGCACACTTGTAGCCAAACTTATATTTATGCTCATATGCTCTTATCACACACTCTGACATACACACACTGATACACACACTAATAATCAGACACCCTGACATGTACATAGTCTTATAATCACACACTAGCATACTTATAATCAATCACATTGACATACCTGACATACTTATAAACCACACAACATGAACACTCATAATCAGTCACACTGACATGCACATAGTCTAATAATTATACACTAACATACACACACTGAACTCCAGTGTGTTCCTTTTTATCACACAATCACACGCTGACAAAACATATGCTCTCACACACTAACATACATTGACACACCTATAATCCACACAGGCACACTGACATACAAGTAGTCCAATAATCTTACTATGTCAGTGTTTGACTCTTCTCACACAGACACAATCCTATACACTAACATACACATATGCTCTGATAATAATGCACTCTGACATTCACATACACTGACACACACAATCACACTCTGACACATACACATACGCTCTTATAATCAGGCACACTGACATTTACGTACACATGACACACAATCACACACACAGACATACACATACTCTTATAATCACACACTGACACGCACATGCATACTGACACACACAAGCACATACACTGACACGCATATACACTCTCTAACAATACACTCTCGAGCGACGCCCCACACCGACGCTTCCACGAAACCGCATACGTCCCCAAGACCCCCCGGGCGGGGGACACAGCCGGCCTGAGGCTCCAGCCTCCCCTCGCCCCATCCCTCCGTGCCTCGCAGCCTCACGCGGGTCCCTCAACTCACCAGACAGAAAACGATGACCGCCGGCTAGCGGCAGAGGATCCAGAGGGTGACGCCCGTGCAGGTGGCCAAGATGCGAGTCGAATCCTAGCGGGAAACGCGTACCTTGTGACACAGGCTGACGCGAGCGGGGGCGGCTCGGCACGCGCGCTCGCCTCCCGCTGCCCCGTAGACTCCTGGGAGCGCCCGGCGCCGCCCAACTGCGCAGGCGCAGACGGCCGCCCGCGCCGGGGTGAGGCCGTTGGGTCCGGGGCGCTGGGAAGAGGGTGGCTGAGGGAATCTTGGGGACGCGGGTCCGCGGGCAGACTCGGGGGACGGGACCGGTGGGACGGCCGGGGAGGAAGCCCGGAGTCCGCGTTCGACCTCGTGGATTCAGAGGGAACCGGAAAGCGACCCGCGGTATCCAGCCGCTCTGATCTGTGCGACGCGGCCTTGGGCGTGGTCCGTGGGCGTGACCCTGAGGGTGAGAATCGAGTGTGACCTGGAAGGAACTCGGGGAGGGCTGGTTTTGTCTGTGTTGGAACCCAGGAAGCCCCATCGCAGGAATCCGGGCCTCACCGAGCGTGGCGCGGCGCCGCGGTGTGTGTGTAAAGTGAACGGGATCGTGTGTGTGCGTGCAACGTGGACAGGATCGTATTCCCGCGCGGGGTTTCTGCTGCATGTGTCCTTTTTCAGAGTTAGGTTTGAGTTGTCTGAGACTGTCGGTGACAGTGGAGAAGGCATTTGATTTAAGAGGGGGGTGTGTGAGAGAGAGATTTTGCTGGGATTGTGTGTGATGTGCTTTGTGGGGCTATGGGATGGTGGTTTTCTGAAGTTAGTTTGATTAACTTCACACTAACACTAATTAGAAAGTCCAAGTATACACATATTGTGCATAGGTTTGTAAGATACTGTTAAAGTCTTGTTTAGTTGAGTATGCAAGATTTGCTTATCCGATTAGTGACCGTTAAGTCTGCCCAAAATCATAACTCAGTAGTAATTTTGCAAATAAAGTAGAGGAATAAATGTTAGAGAAAAGGTTTGGTTTCCATGATTGCTAGAGGGTAAGATTTACTCCGGAAAAACACCATTTAAATTAAAATTAGTGATAAACCTAACGTAGTATGAGAAATAAATAATGCTGTTGCTTGTATGATATATCCTGATTTTGGGTGAAATCCATGGCAATCTAAGATAATAAAATGTCTTTGATACACTTTAATCACAAGGGCAGCCTTATTTTAGTAATTAGTTATTTTGCTAATTTAAATATTCATTGTAGCAGTCAATGTAGCAGTGAATAATTTTGAAAATTCTGGACTCTTAGAAAAATAACCTTTGAAAGGTTAGAGAATGGAAAGGTTAGCTTCTTAATGTTGTTTAGTAGTTAATAATTACTGATAATGTAATTATTTTTCATAATTTCTGAATAGTTATACAAGTAAATTACAGAGATTAATAAAGACATAAAATAGTAAAGTTAATTAGAAAGTCCCAATATTCTCAAGCTTCAGGGCCAGAGAAATAGTACAATGGGTAGGATGTTTTCCTTGAACACAGCCAGCCTGGGTTCAATCCCCTGCATTCCATATGGTCCCCAGAGCCCTGCCAAGAGTGATTCCTGAGCACAGAGGCAGAGTAAACCCTGAGCACTACTGGGTGTGGCCCCAAAACAAAACCAAAAAAAAAAATTCAAGCTTATACAGATGTCTAATATGAAAAAAGATGGCATTTCATGTCAGTTGAGGAAATATGGATTCCATTGTCATGAGTAATGTTTTAAAGTTTTGCAGCTTAAAGGGTTAAATTATTACCTTTTAAAAAATCAACCTATTGGGGCCGGAGAGTTAGTAAAGCATGAAGGGCTTTTACCTTGCATGCTGCCAAACCTAGTTCCCACTCTGTATGGGTCTCCCGAGCTCATCAGGAGTGATTCCTGAGCACAGAGCCAGGAGTAAGCCCTAAGCATAGTTGGGTATAGCCCCAAAACCAAAAAATTAATTAATGAAAATTCTGAAAAGCAGTTTATTAGACAATAAAAGGCATACAATACATGGATGGCATCACAGGGGGGATAAAAAATTCTATGAACTTATCAGAAGGATAATAATATTCTCCCTGATAATAAGAAATGTGTGAATTCTATACTATAATCTGGTAGGTAGTGAACCAAAAGTTGTCAACCACATATGTCAGAGTGTGGGGAGGCGGTCTCTCATAAATTAATAGAAAGTGCATGAAGAACAATTTAGAGATAATAAAAATGTCCTTCAAAGGAGATGGAGGTCAAAGCTACAATGTTCCCTCTGAGCTTCAGCAATTTCCCTAGAAATCATAAGTCTTACAAAGTCTTATGTTCACTAAGACTTATGGTTTTGGTAAAGGAATAGGATTTGTCCACTTCCCCCACTAATTTCTATCCTAGAATTGTGTTTGTTTTGTTTTTGGGTCACATCTAGCAGTGCTCAAGGGTCACTCCTGGTGCTACTTATGGAACTGTATGCTGTGCCAGGAATTGAACCTGGCTTGGCCACCTGCAAAACAAGTGCTCTACCTGCTGTACTGTCTCTCCAGCCCCCATCTGCTCTAGAACTTTTAGGGGCACTCAGAGTAAACATGTACTAAAATGGTGAAAGTTAAGCAGATGTAACTGACTCATTGTGGAATATGAGTTAAACATGATTTCACATTCTCCTTTTATCCCCCCATCTCTGTCTTAGGATCATTTCTTCTTCCATAAGAAGCACTCAAAAGAGGAGGTTGTCCCATGAAAATTCTTAAAGCCATGCTGCAGGTGAGATGGTCCCTCTCTGAAGTAACTCGTTCTCAGAATACAGGAACATTTGCTTCCTGTCCTGACATGATATTTGCTCCCATAAAACTGCTTCTTGGTAGGGCTCAGATGAAGGGGAGGGAAGCAAGTGACCTAAGGTACAAAATGAATAAAGACTGTCAGAGCTCTGTATTCCTACATTTTATACTCTAGGTGCCTCCCCACTAATTTCAGCCCTGTTCCCAGTTCCTCTTATGCCTACTAGATAAAGATAAGCTTTCCCCAGACGCACCTTCTAGGAATAACCACTGTTCACGTATCGATCCGTTCCTTTCTAGGTCTGCTCACAGAAGTGTCACTGGAACAGAAAAGGACTCTCTTAAGTTGGAGTATATTACTTGAGTGAATCACTCTTTCCTAGATACTGGTGTGAGTTCTAATAAGTAATGAGGAGTCAAGGAACAGATGTGGAAAAAACCTTGATTTCCACTGACTTGGTTTTGCAGTGACATCTAGGGTAGATCACAGACAAAGTGTTGGCGGTAAGGGGCTGAAGTGATAGTACGGCAGGTACCACATTTGCCTTGTGTGCGGCTGACCTGGGTTCAATCCCGGACATCCTGTGTGGTCCACCGAGTATGCCAGGAATGATTCTTGAGTGCAGAGCCAGGAGTAACACCTGTGCACTGCCAAGTATGGCCTCCCTCAAAAAAGGAAGAGTTGGTGGTAAGATGTCCTATTTTGTGAGATCTTTGGGATAAAGATTTGCTTACAAACTTGCATTTCTCTTTTTAGAGCTTTTTTGTTTTTGTTTTTGTTTTTTTCTGCTTTTGGGGTCACACCTGGCAATGCACAGGGGTTACTCCTGGCTCATGCACTCAGGAATTACTCCTGGTGGTGCTCAGGGGACCATATGGGATGCTGGGAATCCAACCCGGGTCGGCTGCATGCAAGGGAAATGCGCTACCCACTGTGCTATCGCTCCAGCCCCTAGAGCTTTTTTTAAAACTGTATATAATTGAGTTTATATATACAGTTTCTAAACTGTATTTTAAAATACAGGCATACATTGTTCCAATACCAATCTCTTCACCACTTCCCTCCAGTCCAGTTTCCCTCCTACCTCCCACTGTCTATTTTGTTTCAGTGTCCACAGTCACTACTAACCGTGGCCTACCAGAGAAAACTTTTTCTTGTATTTAGTGCTGATACCAATTTATGCTTTTATTGTTTTTCTTGATTTTTGGTTGGGAATAAACCCTAATCTCATGCGTGCAGTCATGCACTTTACCACTGAGCCACATTCCCCAACCCTATATTTATTCTTATCTTTTTGTTACTTCTAATCTTTTACATTTGGGTACAGGAAAAGGAATGGAAATATTCTATTCTTGAATCAAAAGTGATAGTTTGTCCTTTTTCCAACTCTTTCAGAAAATTTCTCTTCATCTAGAATTATTTAAAATATTACTATGTAGGGCCAGAGAGAGAATACAGGGATTAAGGTACTTGCCTTGCATACTGCTGACCCAAGCTCAAGCCCTGATACCACATATGGTGTCTCAAGGTCCACCAGAAGTAAACCCTGAGTGCAGAGCCAGGAGTAAGCCCTGAGCACTGCCAGGTGTAGCAATAGTGATTGTGTATGTGTGTGTGTGTGTGTAAAACTATTCAGAACTGGGAAGATTACACATGTTGCGTGTGCAGAAACCTGAGTCTGATCACTGGCACTGCAATTCCCCCTGAGCACTGCTGGGTGTAGCCCTGGAGGCCTCAGCATTGCTGGGCCCGAGCAGCACCACATTACTGAACTCTAGCAATGAACCATTTGACCTGGTTGACATTCTTACCAGTAGACCCAGACTCACTCTTAGCATCACTTAGAAGACCCCCCAAAATAAAATATTACTTTTCTCCAAACACTAATTTCTTCTTACACCATCTTTTTTTCTTTATGCACCATCAGCCTCACTCTAAAGGCTATATTGAGGCAATTCTATGACTATCAAATACATCTCTACATCGTAGGCCTCCAGGCAGTTTCAGAACCTCCAATAGTTGTCACCACCTGTCCTATAGACACTTCAAGCATTTCCAGAGTTTTCTTATTGTCTCATTTGTTTCAGTCTATTTGTTCTTCAGTTTCATATTTCCATTTTCTAGTTCCAGCTCTCTGTACATGCTTCTACCAACAACCCAAGATCTCTGTCCTTTTCTTTTCCCTCTGCAGCCAACTTATGACCAATTCTGTTGAGATTCATAATGCAGAAACTAATTATCCCATCTGACCAATAATAACTAAGACCTTAGTTTAGGAGACATCTAATGGTGATTATGTAATTGTCCTTTCACATAAAACACTTCAGGTTTACGGGAGAGATAGTATAGTGGGTCAACTTTTGCCTTGCACACAGTTGACCTGGATTTGATCCCAGGTACCTCATATGGTTCCCCAAGTGCAGAGTCAGGAGTAAGTCCTGAGCATTGCCCAGTGTGGCAAAGAATAAAAAACATATCAGGCTTTCTTCAGTTTTCAGTAATATTAACTCTAAAGTATAAATTTTGTCATATATATATATATAGTCACTATCCTCCCGTTGTTCATTAATTTGCTCAAGCGGGCCCAGTACCATCTCCATTGTGAGACTTGTTACTGTATTTGGCATATCGAATATGGTACGGGTAGCTTGCCAGGCTTTGTCGTGCAGGTGAGATACTCTCAGTAGCTTGCTGGGCTCTCTGAAAGGGGTGGAGGAATCAAACCTGGGCCAACCAGGTTGGCTAGTGTAAGGCAAACACCCTACCCTCTGTGCTATCGCTCCAGCCTATATATCTATATATCTATATCTATATCTATCTATCTATATATGTATATATATAGACTTACTGTTTCTGTTTCTTTTATTTTGGGGGTGGTAGTGGTTTGGACCACATCCACAGATGCTCAGAGCTTACTCCTGGCTCTGTGCTCAGGAATCACTCCTGGAAGGCTCAGGGGACCGTACAGGGTGCCAAGAACCAAACCTAGGTAAGCCATAAGTGGCCCTTATCGACTATGATCGATGACTCTGGCCCCTACTGTTTTTTGATGATGTTGAGGGAGGGCACACCCAGTGATGCTGGGAGCAGTTTGCAGTACCATGGAGTTTAGGCTTATGCATATCTAGGTGTGTTCTCTACTACTGGTGCCACATCCATAGCCTCTTTGTATTCTTTATACTTCATAAAACGGTGTGTTACAATGGAATGAAAAAGACATTTGGGAGGAAAATACTTAGTGTATATTCAAGAATGTTGATAAGGGGCCATTGCTCTATAGGGAAAAATCCAGAATTATGCCGACTGCCTAACTCCATCTATACCTTTTCCTTTTTAAAATTCAGACTTACTCTTCAAGTTCATGTTCTCCTTTGAACACATATCTCGCTTAATTATCTTTGTTTCTTTGCTTGCCTCTGTTCTCTCTTGAACATGTACTTCTCTTTTTCTCTTCCCTCATATCTTTCTTTTTTTTTCTTTTTGGGTCATATCCAGTGATGCTCAGGGGTTACTTAGGCTCTGAACTCAGGAATGATTCCTGGAGGTACTTGGGGGATAATATGGGATGCTGGAGATCAAACCCAGGTTGGCTGCGTGCAAGGCAAAGGCGCCTTACCTGCTGTACCATTGCTCTGGCCCCATCCCTTTATATCTTTCTACATAAGTTGGATAAAAATTATCTTGGTTCACAAGAAAATAAAAAAATTCAACAACATTCCTAACATACAGTGCTTTTGCTTTTTCCTGAATTTATGAGCTGATTTTATTTTCATTGTGAACATTTTGATTGGTGTTTTTTTTTGGACCAAACCTGACAATTCTCAGGAACACCTCCCAGCTCTGTTCTCAGGAGACCATGTAGTACCAGAGATGAAACCCAGGCCTCCCATGTGCAAAGATGTGCTCAGCTCCTTGAGCTCTCTCTCCAACCCTCCTCATGAACTTTAAGGCCAAAGTCCTATATTCCTATCAAATAAACTCATTGTGAATACAAAACTGTCATGTTTTGTGATGACTAGGAATACAAAAAGAAAAAAAATAATTAGGGGCAGGGGGTGGTGTCGCATCCCGCAGTGTTCAAAGGTCTGTGCAGTGCCAGGGATCAAACCCAGAATTTCTGTTTGCAAAGTACATGCTCCAGCCTTGAACCATCTCTCCCTATCAAAAGAATTCTTTCTTTCAGTTTATAGCACTTCCCAAGTATATGTTTCTGTCATTGTATCCATACCACCTCTAAAGTGCATATGTCTACTGGTATGTTTCTCAGCAGGGTTTCATGTTTTTTTTATTCAACTGATTGCATTCAAGTCACATAGCATTAACTCATTTTTTAGCATGACATAATTAGTCAATACAGATCAGTGCGTTTTCAGAGGGCTGAAGCGCCTGCTGAGCATGCAGGAGCCCTGTGTTCTAACCCTAACCCTGTATGGTTCCCCAAATGCTGCTAGGAGTAGCTCCTGAGCATCACTACATGTGGCCCCTAAAACAACAACAATACAGACGAATGTATTTTTAAAGTGTTCTGCAAAGTTAGAAGAAAACAACTGACTGCTGATCAGAACCATGTCTCAGCTATTTCGTTCTCACTAGTTTTAGTCCCTTTAGGATGAACAAGAGTGTGCCATTACAGGGACCCGTGTCATTCAAGGATGTGACTGTGGACTTCACCCAGGAAGAATGGCAACATCTGGACCCTGCACAGAAGGCACTCTACAGGGATGTCATGCTGGAAAACTATTGCCATCTCATCTCCGTGGGTAAGGAAGACTCTATGCATCTTTCTGCATTGTGCATTGCTTTTCCTTTATGTTTTCACAGGTCAGAGGAAATGAATCCCATTTTGTTAGCAGAAAATAGAATTATGTCCTCACTTATCTAGTACGAGGTAATAGCTTTAGTAAAGTGTTCATGTGGGCCTCATCCGAACACCTAGAATCTATTTATTTCTCTTTCATAGTTTTGAAACCTCAGCAATCTTATTTACTAATAACACTTTATCTTATTATTTATTGTCAGGGTTTCACATGACTAAGCCTGATATGATACGCAAGTTGGAACAAGGAGAAGAACTGTGGACAACAGAGAGAATTTTTCCAAGTCACAGCGACCTAGGTGAGTTTAAAGATTACATTTGTAGGCATCTTTGTTCAAAAAAATCCATAAAATATACCTCTTGATATTTTCTTTCCATTTTCTTTTTGTTTTTGGGCCAAGCCATTGGTACGCAGGGGCTACTCCTGGCTTTGTACTAGGGATTACACCTGGCAATGCTAAGAGGGCCATATGGTGCTAAGGATCACATCCAGACCTCCTGTGTACAAATCATGTGCTCCAGCCCCTTGAGCTATTCCTTTAGCCCAATTCCAATTCTTTTGATTATATTTCCAGAAGTACCGTGGCTGGATCATATGATAATTTCCATGTTTAAGTTTTTTTTAGGAAACAAACCAGTTTTATTATGGTTCCACCATTTTTACATTCCTACCAATAATATATAAATATTTTTTTCTTTGTCCTCACCAAAATTTTATATTTTCCATTTTTTTTGGGGGGTAGAGGATCATGGCCTTTTTTTTGGGCGGGGGGAGCTTTTTAGGTCATACTGGTAATGCTTAGGGGTTACTCTTGACTCGGCACTTGGGAATTACTCCTGGAAGTGCTTGGGGGACCAGATGCGATACTGAGAATCAAACTAGAGTCGGCTGTGTGCAAGGGAAATTCCCCACCCGTTGTAATATCACTCCATCCCCAGTCATAGCCATCTTATTAGGGATCTATTTTATAGGGGCCACACCCAACAGCCCTTCTGGTGCTGAGGCCCAGTGGTATACAGGGGGCTATGGTGGTTATCAAGAAATACTCAGCCGACCACCAGGACTATACCTGAGTGGTATTGGGATGTAGAGTAGAGCAGTGGTGCCAGGGATTGAACTCAGTGCTAGGCATGTACTCTACCACTTGATCTCTCTTTGGTCCTAGGGAGCATTTGGGAAGAGGTACACCCAGCATTGCTCAGGGGCTTCTCCTTGCTCTGTGCTTAGGTGGTGGTTCCTAGCAGTTCTTGGCACATGTTGTGCCAGGGTTCAAGCCTTGGCCTTCTCTGTATAAAGCACACTTTTTAGCCTTTTGAGCTACCTCTGGCCCTATGTTTCATTTTCAAAAATATGTAACAGGGCTGAAGTGATAGTACAGTGGGTAGGATGCTTGCCTTGCACACAGCTGACCTGGATTTGATCCCTAACATCCCATATAGTCCCCAGAGCACTGCCAGGAGTAATTCTTGAATAACCCCTGAGCATCACCCAGTGGCCCAAAAACCAAGAGGAAAAAAAAGTCAACCCAAAGTCAAGATGTTTTCTAGTAGAATCAGGAATTGGAAAATCATTAAGTGCTTTGGATTTTGCCAATTGTCCTGGCTGAGGGCAGAGGTGGTCTCAAAAGTAGTAATCTCTGAGTGCAGAACCAGGATTAAACCCTGAACACTACCATGTATAGCCCCAAAACAGAAAAATAAAAGAATACTTGAGTGGCTAGAAAGATAGTATAGGGGTTTGGGCACATCTTCCATGCAAGGGGCCCCAGTTCAAGTCCCAGAATCATATGTCCCCAAAGCACCACTAAGTGTTGTCCTGGTGACCTCTGAGAATTGCCAGGTATGGCTCTGGTGACTCCTAGCTCTCCTGGGCCCATGCAGCACCACATCCTCAGTTGTAGCATTTAACTATCTGCCCCAGTTGACCTAGTACCCCATGAGCCCCTGAACATCACTTGAGAGGCCATCCCAAATGATGATTAATTAAAATAGATAAATCAGGGGTCAACAGAGAGCCAGCAGGTAAGGCAAATGTCTTATACACAGCTGACTTCGGTTCAATCCCCAGCATACCATATGATCCCCCCAAACCCCGCTATGAGTGATCCCTGAATGCAGAGCCAAGAACAAGTTCTGAGCATAGCTGGGTGTGGCCCAAAATCTGAGAACGAATAAATAGTGCAGAGTATGGCTAGATTCTAATTTCAGACCATTAATCCTATAAGGATGGAACTTCTGGGTAAATTGGAGAGTAGTCTAACCCTAAAAGTGACAGTTTAACTCCAGTTGTCAAAAGAAATTCGGTTTGCATATTTTTGAACTATACATAAATATGTTGGCTGCGTGCAAGGCAAACGCCCTACCACTGTGCTATCGCTCGGAGAGCCCGGCAAGCTACCGAGAGTATCTCGCCCATACGGCAGAGCCTGGCAAGCTCCCCGTGATGTACTCAATATGCCAAACACAGTAACAACAAAGTCTCCAATGGAGACGTTACTGGGCCCGCTCGAGCAAATCGACGAACAACGGGAGGGCCTTTACCTTTACCTTACATAAATATAACTGTACAACAATATACTTTCTGCATAAACCTTTTCATAAAGTCTTTGAAGATATTAGAATCAATCCTTTTATTGTAAATCAGTAGGTTTTTATGTTATTACATGTGTAAATGTAAGGGCTGGAGCGATAGCACAGCGGGTAGGGCGTCTGCCTTGCACGCAGCCAACATGGTCGACCCGAGTTCGATTCCTCTGCCCCTCTCGGAGAGCCCGGCAAGCTACCGAGAGTATTCGATATATGCCAGACACAGTAACAACAAAGTCTCCAATGGAGACGTTACTGGGCCCACTCGAGCAAATTGATGATCAACGGGAGGGCCTTTACTTACTTACTTACTTACATGTGTAAATATATGACACAGTACTACCTATTTACGTTTTGTTGGAAATTGTTTAAAACTTAGGGTATTATAAATAAAAAAGATCCAGGTTATAGGTAAGATGAATCCACCTTTAAAATTTTCCTCTTGTAATAAAAGGTCATATAAAAAAAATTCCCCTTGTTATGCCAAGGAGATAGCCCAAAGGGTTAATGAGTGCTTGCTTGCAGGAGGCCCAGATTTGATCCTTGACCTTGCATAGTCTCCTGAATACCTCTGGGAGTGAACCTCCAAATAATTCCTAGAATAGCCCTTGAGCCTACTAGGTGTGACCTCACGCCCCCAAAATAATAATAAAATTAATAATATAGCACCTGAGCTATTGGTATACATAGTAATGTAGCAGTAATAATTGATAATTTCTAATTAAAGCATTTATTATTAAAGGTCAGTCATTGCCATATCACTCTGAAGAATCCAGTCCTTCACAGCTCTCTCTGTTATTATAGGAAATAACAGAGTTAAGGTGTTACTGCATTGGAAAAGAAACTTGAACCAGTATTTCCCTGAAAATAAGAAGAAAAGTTAGAATTGATGATCAGGGACCTGGAACAGGTAGGGCATTTGCCTTGCATATGACTGACCCGGGTTCGATACCTGGCATCCCATATGGTCTCCTGAGCACCACTAGGAGTAATTCCTAAGTACAGAGCCAGGAATAACTCCTGAGCATCACCAGGTATGACTGACAACAGAAACAAGAATTGATGATAGAACAAGTCAGCTTGATGAACTCTTGATACACTGATGGAAGATAAAAATTGGTAACAATCTGAATTAAACAATGATTATATTCATGTCTCAAGTATTGTTTGTCCACTGGCTTATAATTCCCAGTGAGAATATGTATATTTTTTAATTTGAGGGGACCACTACCAGAAGCAACAATTTTTCTTGCTTCGTTTTTAGTGCTCTTGACAGGCTCAGTCCATTATCTTAAGTGCTCAGGTCTTATTCCTGACTCTACGCATAGGAATCAGTCATGGCAGTGCTGGACCATATGGAATGCCAGAGATTGAACCTGTGTCAGCCAAGTGCAGGCAAGTGTCCTGCTTGCTTTAAATATCTCTCTGGCCCCAAGTGGGAATATTTTTTCATAATTCTCCTCTTCTAAGAGAAAATAAATTATACTTAAGTGGAGATTTAGAGTATAGACTATAAGCTAGTGTTTCTATAATGGGAGATGAGTACTTGACAGACTTCATTTGCCATGGATGACCTACTACAGGAAAGGAAATATTATATAAAATGTATGTAATTCTGAGGGAATAAACTTGTAGGCTTTCATCATCACCTGAACAATTTTTCTTGCTTCTTGTTTAGTGCCCTTGACAGGCTCATTCCATTATTGTTGAGTCTTCTTATTCCAACAACAGTTCCTCTGACACCACCCTTTGTGTTTGTTCAGTTGTTCTTATATTACACCTACTCTGTGTAATTTATATACTATGTGTTTATGCCAGTTTTTATTTATACCAGTTTTTCCTTTAACAGGATTTATGTCATGCATTTTCCATTCTAAGAGGTAATTTATTTTGGCCTTTCTGTATATATAATGAGAGAGGCAGTCCCACCATGAGCAGTGTGGGTTGTTCAAATATATCTCCAATCCATAACACTAAAGGATGACAATGTTATTAATTATACTATGTTCTTTTCTAGAAGAAGATGGAAAAACTGAAGATGTTATAGTGAAATTCAAAGACTATCAAGACAGGCATTCTAGATCAATTATACTCATCAACCACAAAAGACTAAGTAAGGAAAAAAATAATATTTGGGGGAGAGCACTTACTGTAGGCAAGAGTCATATTATTTCCAAAAAAACACTGCATGAGTATAAGCCTGATGGAAAGGTTTTGAAAAATATTTCACAGTTAATCATTAGAAATATAAGCCCTGTGGAAGAAAAGTTTGGTGAGGGTAATGAGTGGAAGAAATTGCTCCTTGATGCTAAAAATGAGAAAACTCATACTGCAGTTACTCTCTATAAACAAACAGAAAGAAGTCTAAGTGGAAAACAAGAATCTGTTCAGCGTCAGAAGTTTCAAACAGCATTTGAACATAATGAGAAACCCATCCTTATGAAAGGAATATTATTTGCACATTCTAGAACTCACAAAGGAGAAAGAACCTTGGAATATAATGAAGATGAAATAGCTTTCATCAAAAAGTCAAATTTCAGTGTCCATCCACAAATTGTTATGGAGAGGAAGCCCCATGCTTACAACAAATATGGGAAATTCCTCTGTAGGAAGTCCATCTTTATGCATCAGCGATCTCAAGATGAAGAGAAACCGTTTCAGTGTCCTTACTGTGGAAATAGATTTAGAAGGAAGTCATATCTCATTGAACATCAGCGAATCCATACAGGTGAGAAACCTTATGTTTGCAATCAGTGTGGAAAAGCTTTTCGTCAAAAAACAGCACTCACACTTCATGAGAAAACACATATAGAGGGGAAACCTTACATTTGTTTAGATTGTGGGAAGTCCTTTAGACAAAAGGCAACCCTCACCAGACATTACAAAACACATACAGGAGAGAAAGCCTACGAATGTACTCAATGTGGAAGTGCTTTTAGAAAAAAATCATACCTCATTGATCATCAGAGAACTCACACAGGAGAGAAACCGTATCAGTGTAATGAATGTGGGAAAGCATTTATCCAGAAGACAACCCTCACTGTACATCAAAGAACTCACACAGGAGAGAAACCCTACATTTGTAATGAATGTGGGAAATCTTTCTGTCAAAAAACAACTCTCACTCTCCATCAAAGAATTCATACAGGAGAAAAACCTTATATTTGTAATGAATGTGGGAAATCCTTCCGCCAGAAGGCAATCCTTACTGTTCATCATAGAATACATACAGGAGAGAAATCCAATGGGTGTCCTCAGTGTGGGAAAGCCTTTAGTAGGAAATCAAATCTCATTCGTCATCAGAAAACTCACACAGGAGAGAAACCATATGAATGTAAAGAATGTGGGAAGTTCTTCAGTTGTAAGTCAAACCTCATTGTCCATCAGAAAACTCACACAGTAGAAACCAGAGAAATTCAGTAAATGGTGTTAAAAACTTAAAAAGTCGTAGTAAACCCTGTACATAATGTTGCTTGCAGGTATATAATTTCAACAACTTAAGGTTTCAGGTCACATACGCACCTACTGTTTGCTAGACCATAAAACAAAGAGTTACAGTATAAATATCATTGAAAATGTAAATCAAATTTTTAATAGGTTCAGCAGACATAAACTTCCTCTGTCAAACTGCTACTAATAATTAAAATTGCTTATTTTCAATTTCAGTATATATTGTGAACCTGTAATAAATAGGTGGTCCATCGGCCACACTATACATAAGTGCTTTAAGAGAAAGGAGGTATTAACTGTATTTCTCGTTGCAAATATAGAAAAAAAGCTAGTTGCTACCTCCTCAAAGTTAACCACAGGTCTGGCTTTTAATAGATCATAAAACCTTTTATTAATTGGATTGTATCAATTCAATCAGCTTAATCAGTGGCTGAATAAATAGCAGTACTCCTACATTTTAAAAAATTGGATTGTGTATCATTCCTAATATGTGTATTCCCTTCATCATGTCTTTAAAAATGTATCATTAGTGCATGTGGTAGAATGTCATTTATTTTCATTCTGTACAGGATTCTATTATATAATTGTATTCACAACTTATCCAGTCTACTATAATTTTTTTCATTGTTTACAGCTTAGGGACTTAAATAATTCTTCTGTGAACATATACGTATGTTTATGTGCATATACACGTAGATACACACGTATATATTGCACATATATTCTTAGGAGTGGAATTTCTTGGTCCTGGGTCATATGTATGTTCAATTGATTTGGTAGATAATACCAAACAACTTAGAACTGTCACAGCAATCTTAACTCTAAGGGAATCACATTGGATGGAAAAGCTTCAAATGAAGTGATTGTAAAAATGAGTAATGCTTCACTCCTTAACAACAACAATGAATACTAAAGATAGGATTCTTTCAACTGATAAGGCTTGGAACTCTTTAGAGAAAGCAGGTTCCATGAGAACTCAACCAGGGGCTGGAGCAATAGTATAGTGGGTAGGGACCCCCCCAAAAAATGGTATATTAATACTGAAAATCTTTAGATCCTTAAAGAGACCATAGATGATCTGTGAACTCAACAAGCTAAATTTTTCTCACACCTAGTTCCTGAATTTTTTTTTAGGGATCATAATAATTATTTAGGTCTTGGCATCATCAATTCAGATATATATATATATATATATATATATATATATACACACACACATATATCCCCAGTAGTGTTTAGGTGTTACTCCTGGCTCTATAGAATACCAGGAATTGAACTTTGGTTGGCCGTGTGCATGGACTTACCCACTGTACTCTGAACCCTAAGTATCTAGGTAATCTAACTAAAATTAGTTACCATTTATTCCTGTGGCAGACCTAGATGTTCCTCAGTGATCCACTATCTTACTCATGATATTCATGTGCCTGTATAAGTCCTTTCTCTCAAGTGTGGGCTCAGCAATTTCTTTCTAACCAGGAAAGTCTGCCATTTTTGTTCCACAAGATTCTGTTGTTTTGCTTTGTTTGATTTTGGAACCACACCTGGTGGTGCTTTGGGCTCTATGCTCAGGAATAATTAATGGCAGGGCTTGGAGACCATATGGGATTCTCTGTATTGAACATGAAAGGCAAGTACCGTCTCCCCAGTCCCTGTTCCACAAACTTCCTTTTTTTTCCCCTTTTTTGAAAAATTTTATTTTTATAAAGTTTTTCACAGTAGTTCATTACAGATAATATTCAAACACAAATCCCACCACTGTGCAACTTCCCACCACCATAAGAGGAAACTGTGCGAAGATTGTTGTATTTCATCCTGGAGCCATTTAATTCCTTATATAAAAGATTACAAGTATTTTAAACCCAAACAAATGTTTACTACTTTTGGTACATCAGTGGGCTAGAGTATAAGAGGTTGCACATCCCAGGACGTTCTGTGTCACACTCTTCCAGATTTATTTCATGGTCTCCGGATCTTAGCTGTTGATGAGACTATATGGCACCAGAGACAGTTTGTGGGTGTGACTGCCAAGCTACTGGAAAGTGGGAGCTCTGGGAAGGAGGACCAGTCCCATTCCGAGCTAGCTTAGAGATCTCAGTCACGGGTCCCACATACCTGGGTTTTTCTGCAGGTTCCCACATAGGTGAGGCTCATCCGAGCCTGTGGAGAGCAGCCTTGAGCATGGCTGTGTGGTTGGGTTGTGGAGATTTTCGGCTGCCTAGGTCCTGCTGGGGTGGGGAGGGAAACTCAACCTGCCCTGCTTCAAGTTGCCCCATTGAAAGCCTGGAGAGGGGTCAGGACATTTCACAAACTTCTTGCTTGCTTACTGTAAGACCATATGAAATCTTTTGCTAGTTTTGATGAATCAGGGTACCATACTGTTGAGGCCCATGTGACAAAAACAGCCAGCACAAAACTGAGACCCTCTGTCTAACAGTCTGTAAGGAATTGAATGTTGCAAAGAGTAATCTTGAGAAGCAATATTTTCCCGTCTGCCTGTAAGCACAGAGAATCTTGGTCCACACTGTGACCACAGCCTTATGAAAGTCCTTGGAGTAGAAGATCCAGCAAGGCTGTCTAGACCATAGAAAGCACAAAGTGACTGTGTACTGCTCTAAGGTGTTATGTTTGTGGGAATTTCTTACACAGCAGTAAGCATATGACAGAATATTCTAATTCCATTTATATCATTTTGTTTATTGAGTATTCCTTCCTTCCTTTGGGGGGAAGCTAGAGTCACAAAATCCAACCTGTAAAGAGAAATCCTGCAGCAGCCTGCTGGCCCCTGGACATAGTTAACTATGCTCCTAGGCCCAGAAGTAATTCACAAAAACCCTATAAACTGCTTCTCTGGCATTGCCCCCTGTGCCTCTGTTAGCAAAATAGATTCTGATCTTCAGGGTTATAAAGAAAAACAAACCCATGGGGTATTGTGGCAAATTTCCTATAAATGGTCCTAAGTATTTATCCTAACTCCTTTAAATTTTGATTTTGGTTTTTAGTTCCATCTGGTGATGCTCAGGGCTTACCCCTGGCTCTGCACTCAGCGATTACACCTGGGGGGCTCAGGCGACCATAAGTGGTGCTAAAGATCAAACCCAGGTCGGTAGCATACAAGGCAAGCACCCTACTTGCTGTACCTGTTGCTGTACCTGCTCCAGCCCCTCTACCTCCCTTTTAAAGGAGGAGATAAGTAGATATATGTAGAGGAGATAAGTAATATGTAAAAAAAAAGTAATATGTAAAAAAAAAACATATAAGTAGATATATGTAGAGGAGATAAGTAATATGTAAAAAAAAAAAAAAAAAACCCTGACATCACAATGGCTGAAAGTTTCTGTCTTTAAAAACCTTTCAGGGGCTGGAGAGATAGCACAGCGGGTAGGGCGTTTCCCTTTCACGCGGCTGACCCGCGCTCGATTCCCAGCATCCCATATGGTCCCCTGAGCACTGCCAGGGTTAACTCCTGAGTGCAGTGTCAGGAGTAACCCCTGTGCATTGCCGGGTGTTACCCAAAAAAAAAGCAAAAAAAAAAAATTTCATATACACATCCAAGAAATTACAAATGCCAAGCAAAGATACATAACCAGAGATAGAGTAAAAATGCTAAAGACTAGAATATCTTGGAAGCAGCACATTAAAGACTCATTACTTATCACTTACAAGGGATTTTCTGCAAGTAAGTTAATAGGATCTTAACAAATGAAGTCCTTTTACCTTATCTCAAACCATAAAGATCAGAAAACAATGGAATGATATACACAAAAGAGCTGTGGAAAAATCTATTTTTTCATTTTCATTTCATCATTTCATCATCCTGTTAATCGTCGATTGCCTCGAGCAGGCCCCAGTAATGTCTCTTTCATCCTAGCCCTGAGATTATATTCACGGCTCTTTAGGAGAATGAGACCCATCATTGTTACTGGTATTTGGCATATTTGGTAGGCCACGGGGAGTTTGCCAGACTCTGCCCTGTGGGCAGGCTACATTCGATAGCCTGCAAGTTTGTCCAAAAATCTATAAACAAATAATTTATAATTTTATAAATTATAATTTATAATAGGAAAAATATTTTATATTTTATATTTTATATATAAAATAATATAATTTATAATAGGAAAAATATAATATTTATAATAGGAAAAATCTATAAACAAATAATTTATAATTTTTTTCTTTTTGGGTCACACGGCAATGCACAGGGGTTACTCCTGGCTCATGCACTCAAGAATTAATTCTGGTGGTGCTTGGGGAACCATATGGGATGCTGGAAATCGAACCTGGGTTGTGCGCATGCAAGGTAAACGCACTACCCGCTGTGCTATTGCTCCAGCCCCCCAAGCAAAACTTTTTCACAGATTTTGAAATAGACACAGTTTTTAAAAAAATTGTTGCTAACAGAACCATTTATAGAAAACAAATCCGAGGATATGACTCAGTGGTGAAGTGCATACTTTCTGTGTGTGAGGCCCTGGGTGCAATTCCTGGAACCACGACTCTGCTCTCTGCTACTAAACACATAAGAGTAAAAATTTCAGGCTGAAAGGGACATCCTAAGTGGTCATTCAAACCCACAAAAGACACACACACAAAAGCAAACTGGAGAGATAGTAGAAAGGTTTTGTGCTTGTCTTGCTTGTGATCAAACCCAGTTTGATTCCTGACTCTCACTGTTACAGTCCCACAAGAACCACCAGGGGTCACTGTTGAGCACAGAGCCATAAAACCTCAGAACTTCTGGGTGTGACCCAAGTTGAACCCCCACATGAAAAACAAAATAGCAATTTAAATTTATGTAATTATAAGATACAGTATAAGTACCTCAATTAACCTGAAAAGCAATTATGGATGAAATAATTCTCACAGATGTTTAAATGTAACTATATCCTTAAGCTTAAAATATACAGAATATATTATACTTAATAATAAAAGCACAAAGAAGGTGGATGGGAGCAACGTGTATCAAAGAAAGGACACCACTGTATTCCAATATCTCACTTTCAATAAAGGCTAGTTAATACGGGAAAAAAATCAATCGGTAAGTAGAGGACTTCAATAACACAAGAACAAATGGAACTAACAAATATACACAGCATTATATCATGATCCATAGAAGAAAACATTCTTCTTAATCACATACAGAACACTCTCAGGAATACATCATATGTAAGACCACAAAATAATTCAATACACTTGAGAAAACTGAAATCTTATTAAGTATTTTTTCTAACCATATGAACTTAAGCTAGAAATCATTAACAGGAGGAAAATGGAAAAATGCACCATTATAAGGAAATGAAAATTAACAAGCAATACAAAAGAGTATGGGGGAGATTGTGGAGATAGAGGCAGGGGGAGGGGTGGGATGGGGGGAAGATACTGGGGATCTTGGTGGTGGGAGATGTGCAGTGGTAGAGGGTTGGGTGATCGATCATTGTATGACTGAAACTCAAATAGGAAAGCTTTGTAACTGTACCTCACAGTGATTAAAAAGATAATAATAATATAGAAATAAGGGGCTGGAGTGATAGCGCAGTGGGTAGGGCGCTTGCCTTGCACATAGCCGATCCGGGTTCAATTCCCAGTATCCCATATGGTCCCCCAAGCACCGCCAGGAGTAATTCCTGAGTGCAGAGCCAGGAGTAACCCCTGAGC